GTTCTCCTTGAGCTTCATGGCCGCGTTCAAGGCCATGAAGTGCGGCTTCGCATGGGACCGAATGATCCCAACCTTGTCGAATCCGTAGGTGAACCCTTCGCGGATCGCATAGTTGTCAAGGTCTGGGTGAGGTATCACACAGTACTCGTGGATCTTGGCTTCGTCGCTAGCCTATACGCATTGTGGCGATGACTCGCATCAGTCGTAAATTATCGAGCTGCAGCAACTCACCTCCAGAACCTTGTGCCTGCCACCATCCTTCCACTTGGCAACATATTCCTTCATCACGTCAGGCATTGGCATGATCGCAATGTATCCACGATCCCACAATGCATGGAGATCGGCACGGACTGTATGCAAGTAAGTCCACGCGTATCGGCATGCGTCCTGGAAAGAAGACGCACGGAAAACCTGGTTGTGGCGTGAATCCACGCTGAGCTCTGTAATGTCCCACCACCACTCCAGAGCCGTGAGCTATGTATGTGTGTATGTACATCGTCAGATACACCGCCTGCGCTCAAGAGCCACTTGAGCTTACCACATCCGGCTTTGTGGCCCGTGGCAACACATGGCATTGTTGCACGGATTTGTCCTTTATGCCTGATATGATGCAGGCACCCTCATTCTGAGACGCATCGATGGCGCGCTGTCGTGAACTCCTTGTAATGGCGGTCTTGCGTCTCACTCGCCGTGATGGACTCCTCTGAATCTCCGGCGCGCGTGTTGGAATCTTCTGATTCTCCGGCGCGCGTGTTGGAATCTTCTGATTCTCCGGCGTGCCTTCCCGGGACGGCGTATACTCGTCTTCTTCGTCTAATGCTCCCCTTTTCCGTTTCCCATCCGCCGTCTTGTTCTCGCAGTAATCAACTGTGTACGGGCCACCGTCAGGGCAAAGCCGTCAAAGGTAACGACGAGGACCCATACCTTTCGGCAAATGTTTCAGTCTATTAGATCGTCTCGGTTTGAAGCCGTCAACCATGGCGAGCGCATTTGTAGAGATGAAGTGGAGGGTGGAGGTGAGGAAGAAGACGGAGAGAGTGAGTGGCTCAAGCGGCTTTGGCTGAGTTCATATTATATGTTGTGAAGCGCGTGACCACAGGCCACAGAGGCCATTGTATTCCAATTTGGATCTTGTGGGCATCGTCGACGCGGGTCAGTGACTGGCGACCTCCCGCATATTACCTAATCTGCATGGCCTGTGCGAGGTGAGTTCTTGTAGTTGTGATATCAGATGCACCGTCTGAGGCGCGGGAACCGTGCCCCGCTGATCGGAGAGAGACACTGTTAAGGTCGCATAAGGAAGCACGCTTGTCATTTGCTTAATCGGAATTGTGCAGTCAGTCTGCGGAAGACTCGACTCAAAGGCACGAAACTCACCTAGGTCATGTTGAACGACCCCACTGGCGCGAAATATTCCCAAGTGAACGTCTATCCGTCCGGCTCAAGAACCATGTTCTCGCCGCAAAAAGATGGATCGGGTGACAGTGAATGGGACTGCTCCGAGAGGAGTAGATCATGACATCGACGACACAGCTATAGTTATTGACTCATTGAGAAATTTAAACAGAAAGCTGAACTTGGCCCGCCCTATTCTTCCGAAGGTCTCAAACATCCCCCACACAGAATCATGCATATAGAAGGCTTGGCTTGTATCTACATCATGTACAAATTGCAAACCTCATAATGAAACAGGTCCAGATAGATTCTGATGACAAGCATGAGAGGTCAAGCACGACTGTCCTCACACTGTCAACGTTTGACGTAGCGGCGCACTGTCCACTGAGGATGTTCCCAAGGTGGTGCGTCATAGTATACAATGAGGAAGCCGCGGCGATTGCAGCACTTCACGACACTCTCAGTCGAGGTGAATGTGCCCGTAGAGGACATTCTGCATCATATGGAGACAAGGACGCAGTGTCCTGTGATAACAAAGATCTACGTCTCTGCAGGAGTCGAATGTGAGGGTCTCTGAGATACAAACCACACCGCAGAGACAAAACGAACGCACCCGACCTGCATATCACCTGTACCCGCATGAAGTAATCAAAGATGCTGGATTATGTGTCTCACAATCCTCATGGGGCTCACAGGGCTCACAAAGACCTATACGACTGCATAGAAACGGTGTGCGCACTCGAGGGAGCCTAAATGCACTGCACAGTGATCGACTACAACAGTCAAGACGTGATTGGCCTCGGGGTTCTCCGAGAGTAGCGCTGACTAAGCACCCGCTAAGGGCACTGGTGGCGCATGCTGTTCGCGCTACACCATCGTCACTACCTCGCTGAACTCGCGATACAGTCGACATAAAAATGAATGTCCTTGCCATCCTTATTCCTGACATGTTTTATACACGCGCTGCTGAGCACCTCCCACGCGAAAGTACTCCTGCGCTTTCGGACGACACTGGCAGCTCCTCTTCACGCGAAAGCTCTCCACCGGCTACACCTGTCTCTGGACTCAGCCGTGCACCATCTATCTCTTTTGATGACAATTCTAAGCATATACCCACTGGCGACGGCACAGATATCAAAATCCTTGAACCAGACGCGGACTCCTCGCCACCAGAAGACATCACGCGTCCGCTGAAACGGAGACGGTTGGCGGACACAAGGGCTGATGAATTCCGTTCGGACAGAGCGCTTTCGCCTGATACTTGGAGCGACGCGACTGAGGCCGATGACGGCGTCTCCTTCGGTTCTGGCCGTGTACCCATCAGCGACTGCACAAGTGTCGGGGATGTCAAGCCAGATGCGGTGGACCCGTCGCTAGAATACGTCTTCCGTCCGTCGAAACGGAAACGATGCGCGGACACAAGGACTGATGATGCTTGCGCAAAGAGGGAGCGGACGTCTGGCACCTCGAGCGACGCAATCAAGGCCGAGGACAGCGCTTCATTCGGTCTTGGGCATATACTTGTCCGCGAGTGTACGAGTATCAGGTTCGCCGAGTCAAACGCTGTCCACGCGGTCTCCCCTCGTATTGATCTACATACGTCACTTGAAGCTATCGCTCGCCCGCCAAAGCGGAAACGGTGTGCACACACGACGACCGATGAGGTCCGCGTTAAGAGAAGGCGGTTGTCTGACAGTCCGAGCGACGCGTCAAAGCTCAAAGATGGGGGTCCTTATGGACCTCACCCTAGATGCATGATCACGGGCTGCGTGTCTGCTGAGGTGGAAGCATGCTATATCCTGCCTCCCGACACGCATCAACCGTTGGTGAGTATGGTGGTTACTACCTCGGCCTCGCAGCTGACGAGGCAGCTTTGTAGGGCGACTGCACGACGCTCCGTATGCCTACTGACTCTAATGCGGCCTATTGTAGCACGCCTGCAAACATCATATTCCGTGCGTAATTACTCATCTCCAACCCGTTTCCCCTTCTCTTACAACCCACGTGCAGTTCGACGTGACCTCCGCATACTATGGGACACAAACCGCCTGCTGATGATACCCCATCCCGATCATATAGACTACCCCGATACCCGCCCTGTATGTATCGTACGTCCCCTTCAAGTGGTCGCTGCACTCACCATCAAGTAGGCCTACAAATACTACGTCATTGCAGAAGATGAGCACCCTCTGGACTCGTGCATCGCCAAGGATTATACCATTACGCCTCCAGTCGCAACGGCTTGTAGCTCGTATCGCTCGCTGGGGTGGCACGACCTGAGTGCGAATCTGCATCTGATGACAATTCGAGTGGGCCGCGAACTCATGAAGCGACCGCTCCACTACGAGAATCATCTAGTTCAGGACGCTCTCTCGCATATACCCACTATCACGCCCGTCTGCGCAGATATGATCGAGCCGGTCTTCTCCCACATCAAACGCGACTCGCCAGTCGAAGGCATCTCCCGCCTGCCGAAGCGGAAACGGAGCCCGGACATAGAGACCGATGAAGTCCCTGCCAAGAGAATGCGCACGTCCGGCTCTGCACGCAACACGTCCAAGGTCGAGGACAGTGTTCCTTTCGGACCTCACCCGAGATGCATGATCACCGGCTGCGTGTCTGCTGATGTAGAGGCGTGTTATATCCTGCCTCCTGACATGCCTCAGCTATTGGTGAGTAGGCGTGACCAATACTTTCGCTTCGTGGCTGACAAGGTGAATCGGAAGATGGACTACATTACGTTCAACATGCGTACCAACTACAACGACCTCCGTTGCCCTGCACCTGGGAATTTTATATTCCGTGCGTGTTTCGCAACATTCTCTCTGTCCTTTGAGCCCTCACATACCGCATGCAGTTCGACGCGACCTCCGAGAACTTTGGGAGACAAATCGCTTATTGATGATACCCCATCCTGACCATTTGCAGGAGCTCCAGCATTGCACTGTATGTATTGTATGCCTTCTTCGCCAATTCACGTGCTCACGCTGATGTAGGTCTACAAATATTGCATCATCGCAGAGGAAGAGCACCCTCCAGACTCATGCGCAACCATGGGCTATTTTGTCACACCTTCCGTTATGAAGGCTCCTTGCTCATATCGGTCTCTCGGATGGCACGAGCTGAATGCAAATCTCCGCCTGATGATATTCCGAGCGGGTCAGAAATTGAGCAAGCGACCACTGCACTACCAACATGTCTTGCGGGATTTGCTGCCCCACAAGGAAATCAATCACGCGTACACCATCATCCAATGCCATGGGTCGTGGACGGCCCGCCTGAGTAAGCAGTTGGTACCTGAAAGGCGGTTGTGGGCAACGGGCGAGCTCTCAGCCTGTCCTGATGGTTATTACCGCCGCCCCGTGAAGCAATATTGTTCCCCCTTGTTGGATGATGATGCTTATCGCTTTCCTCGCCGATTTCGGCCAATTGTCTCAGGGATAAAGAGGAAACGTTCTGGCGACACTAGCGTCGGCACACAGACCTACACCGTGGATGAACATACTCAACGGGAAGTCAGCGTGCGTCAGTGGTGTCTAGATTGCGATCACGCTCGAGATGAGTGGAAGATGGGACCGCCTGCGGAACCTGAGGACGCAGAGATGCTCGCTTATCGACAAGAACAAGCTGGCGATGTACTGGCTGTTGTGAGAAAACTTGGCTCGGTGGAGAGCTATTTCTCAAGGTACATTCTCTGTCACATTTCAAGGCGAGTTTTGGCTGACGTCCTTATTGAAATGCTATACAGACGCGGTCCCAGGTTTTGATACCTAGCCCCGTAGCTTATGTTATGACGGGTTTCACGTGCCCGTCAGTCTTAACCATCCAGCATACTCTGTCGGAGAACGACCCTTGTTGGAGAACTCCATCGACCCGCCGCCACGACTGGAGCTTATGTGAGCACGTTTATCTACAGGCTTAGATGGAGTGATTCTGGCATCTCGCATCCTCCCGGATGAGCCAAATGCGCTTCCTGACCGTGCGTCGTGATTGCGAGCAAAGGGCGGGAAGTACACTTGTATTGAAGAGCATTGCGCTGCCTTGGTCCCTTCATTCCCAGTACATTATCGCATGGTATCCGTAGGTCTCGAGCCATCGGCTGCATGACAGAGTCTCCTTCTGGCCGCCGCGGACACTATGCGTGGTGCTTGCGAGACCACACGGCGTCTATCGGGCGTCGTCACATATAACATTACTTCCGATTAAAACCTCTGGTATGTTCGATAGGTGTCCTGTCTTACTCCGTTTACTAATGTCGGTAGGCCTGGCATGCTCGAGAAGAATGGGCCGTGCTGCATCACAATTGCTAGCAGCGGCATGATGTACAACGCGAATTTATAAGTCCATATACCCGTATGTGCAAGCAGCAGCAATTCGATGTTGGTGACTGACCGGAAGGCATTCTAGGTCCAACCCTTGGGCATCGGATTTGCGTATGACAATCTGCCTGTCTTCAACCACCAGGAAGTGGCAGTCGATCTGTTGAATACAAGAACTACAAGCATGTGGGATCGTCGATGCTGATCGTTCCTGCAAATCATCTCCTCCGGCTCCCAATCCCGCAACTACCAGCGGCAGGCTCTGAGCTTCAGACAGCATTGTGAGTTCATTTCTCTGCCGTAGACACGGCGGCTGATACCACTTTGTAGGAATGGTGGCCACTGTGGCCCAGCCTTCTCTGCGTAAGTGGTGCTACTTGACCAGATGATTCGAGGTGTCTCATAAACGAGACAAGCGATATTCCTGAGATCATTATGGCGAAGTACACAGCTTCGTGTATGATGAACCCGTACATCTCAACACGAACTGATGGTACGCTCTTTCATGTGCGTCGGGTACTTCATCTCACACGATGCTCAGATTTTGTTGCCACGATACCCAAGCCTCATGTTGTGCAGTCAGAAAAATCTGTCCGTAACTCCTCACCATACGTATCACTCGACTGATCCTGTCAACCGCCTCAGATCCGTTCTCGTATCGTCGTCAGCAGTCACACCTGTAATTCAGAAGTAGGCTGCCGCAGACATTAGGTAAGATATGCATCTGTTGGGTTACACACCCGCCTCCTGATTCAGTTCTACGGCTAGATTCGGGTGTGCTACGAGAACGAGCCACAGCACAACCCTCAGCGGTAGCTCAGTCGAACTGTGTCGCTGCGTTTATACACCCGCTCTTGGTCGATCGCGACTGAGTGCGCAGCTTGTAGTCGAAGTTGTCATTTGCCCTTGTCACTGGCGTGAGAACTATTCTATTTATATGAGGGCAATCCTGTTGGTTTCTTGACCACGGCCTACAATCCGCTGATTGTCTCCAAGAATGACACCTCCATCATTTTGGCGCCCTCTCAGTCGTAAGTCTAGGTGTTCTCTGTGATCTCAAGATTAGATTGATCTCGTAGTCAGACGGGCAGACCACCTTCGGACACAGCGGACACAGAACAGTGACCAATAGTTCCAAATACCATCAGTGAACGATGCGCCCATACACACAAGTTTTTGGCACTCGTACAGAGACATAAGACTGCCGCATGGTCAAGGAAACCCACGCATCCCTGCACGACCTGGTGATCGCTTTGTACCCCACCGCTTCCTCACTGCACGGGCTGAACGAGTGCGTCGCCGCACTCTCTCGCTCGGCCTCACACCTCAAAGAGTTCACGTACTCGGTGCCCGCATGGCTCGCGAGCAATACAAACGAAGCAACTGCGCGGTCCATGTGCTGAGAATGCCGCCTCGACCCTACCAAGAAGGATCTGCGCGACTCGGATTCAGAACCGATAACACAACCGCCTAGTATGTGATTCGACTTGCTTGAGCTGACGTTGTGTAGAGCTCCTCAAACGGTTTATGTTGGAACTGTAAGTATACATGAGATGTAGCTACTCGATTTGCCCTTGCTCGACGATTCCTGGCGCCTCGTGCGGTGCTCTGTCTTCCTAGTCGTCATCTTTGGCCCCCGCGCCGCGCATGGAGCCTTTCTCTGGCCAACTTGAATGTACGTCACGCTGAAAGGCACTATATGACAAATGGACCGGCGATTGTGAGTTGTTGCCGCCGGTAGCATCGTTGAGAGTGAAGACACGAGCTCACCTGACCCATCGTCTGCGGGAAGACTCGTGCCAATGTGTACCTTAGCGCCTATGTGATAGAGGAGACAGTCGGGTGCATGGAATACCTGCTCCCAGACTCGCCGTGAATGTGCTCTGGACCCAAGACTCGCAGCATTCGGGGTAGGGCTAGAGTAGATGTCCATTAATGAAAAGGAGTTACCATGAGCATAAGTGTCATTGCAAGTACGCAACTGCGAGGCCAGTCAATGGTTTTCACGCGTCGATGAAGAAGCATAGCAGATCAACGGCCTATTGGTGCAACGAAACACCGCTCACAACTGGCTGTGATACGGAACGATGCAAGAAACAAGAACACGGAAGGATCACACGTACAGGACCACACTGCTCTGGAATCAGTGATGGCTATCTGTAATTGTGATACTTTCCATAGACCACATGGCGAGAATGAATGTTATTGTGGCATAGGTCAAGAAGATGGACTGCTACTTCCAGCTATAGCGGTTGGTCTTCTGGATGAAGAAGGTAAAACAAGTGCCAAACAGCTAGCATCTCGTGTGGCACGTATAGGATTGTCATTGCGAGCTAAGAGGCTCAGGACATAGCAAGGGCGAGCTTAGTCAAGGTGATTGTGATCAGGTGAGGCCGCTTGAACATGAATACCATCTGACGCAAAAACACTAGTTCCATGTGGCTTTCCTGCACATATTGGCTGAGGCAAAGCTGGTGAGCTAGTCAATACACCATTTATGAGCATGTGAGCAAAGACAAACCAGTCGTCAGCGACTCATGTGGAGAGACACAGCAGACACCTAGCCATGTGGATCATCGGAGTGGAGGGGAGGATAACTTGGTTGATATTGGGGATGCTCAATTCTTGTTGCTCACTCATTCATTCGCAGATCAACCACCTTTTTTGGCAGATATTTTCAGCCCTGACTGATCGCTCAACCACCTACTACCAAAAAAAGTGGTCGATCTGTGAATGAACGAGCGAGTGACAAGAATTGAGCACCCCTATTGGTGGCTCTGCTCACCCTATCCAAATGGCCCAGGTGTCACAAGTTGCTACATCACAGACTATTTTTTCCATTTTCCTTTTATGTTCTTTTCCCCTTCTCTGGGTTCAAACCATGAATGTAGGTCCTCAGGAGGAACAAGTGAGGCACCAGTGTCCAATCGAGTGCCCAATGAGTTGACCACATGGCTGCCAAGTACGCAGTTGGGTGTGTCTGCTTGGAGATTGCCCTCAGTTCCCCGAGACAGAGCGGACCTAGGCAGCTGAGTCACCCCGACTGCCAGTGTCACGAGTTGGCATGGCGTCTAGCTGTTTTTTAATTTTTTCCTTTTCGCGGGCTCGAACCCGCGACCTCTGTACTACATGCCTGATATGGACGCATCGCTATCTACTGTACGATTAGATTAGATGGGACGGCAGTGCACGACACAGCTCGGGCTCCGATGACACAGCCGCTCTGACTCACCGGCCCCCGGGGCCGCGTTAGCATGCTGTGCACAGACCAGCTGCGCACGGACCAGTGCGCACAGCCTCCCCTAAACTCCTCCTGTATATAAGCCGGCCTCTGCTGCCCTAGGGACCTCAGTTTCGACCTCTTGTCCCTAGGTCAGTAAGCTCCTGTATTCTCTCACTTACCTTACACTAACTAATACATTTCTTGTCCCTAGCCTTAGGTTTGAGCCCAGCTCACCATCGCTTTGGTAAGACTCAGTCGAACGCCCCCAGCGTCCTTTGTTTGGTTTTCCCCAGTCGCTTGACCCTAAGTCGCGACAGCCAGGATTTTTCCGTTCCCCTTTCTGTACATCCCGGTCTGGCATTGAGACTCAGTGCCCTGTCTCCAAAGATAAAGGGAAAAGTGTACTCGATGAGAGTCAAACCGGCAGCCAGTTGGACAGGTTTTGCCCACATGATGGGGCTCATCAGGAAGCTTAACCGCTGCCCCAACCTGACCAGTGAAAGTAGAAACTACTTGGTACTTATTGCTCAATGCCACCTGGATTCCCTCATTAGGGCGAATCCCAGACGAGACTGGAGCTGATACAACGGTCTATACTCCTATATTGATGCCTGACTCGTAGATGACGAGCGAGGACTTATGAACAGTACGTTGTCCTGAAGATCGAGCGAGGAAGTCAAGAATGACCACTACCCCAAGCAAGGAGGAGCAGAGACTTGAATGAATAACCAGGTCGAACTTAGGGTTCGACCGACTAATGGTACAACTAGTTATACAAGTACCGGCTACGCACGGACCACTGTATCTGTGTGGTCGTGTTAGTAAAGAAGGAAACGTAGTGGTACGATACCAGGCACGAAGTGCGCACGGACCCCATTATGTAAGCTACATAATGTTCAACCTGCAGGTGAGTGCTAAGACGGGCGCCAGTATGGGTGCTAGTAGTACAAGAAATAGAACGGAAAGATAAATGTTTCATTACCCCCCTGCCAGAGTCGAAGTCCTATTCGACTACTTACTGCTCACCGTCTCCATACAACTCCCAGTCCACGCCATCGTCTTCCTCTTCATTGAACCATTCGTTGCACACGTTCCTTCCCACATTCTTCCATTCCTCGCCAGAGAGGTGCTCCTGACGCGGCCAGGAGCTATCCCACGTCCATTGAGTAGTGTCGGGTGTCCAGTCGGGGTCGACTTTGCGAAAGATGATGGGTGTATCGGGGCGGGGGCATGAGGATCCTGCAATGGGACTAGCCTGGGGTTCGGGGTTAGCGCTGCACGGTGGGGGGATGGGTACCGCCTTTGTCTGCCTCTCTCTTTCCTTCCTCTCCTTTGCCTCGTTGATGATTCCCTCGAGGAACACGTTGTCGACAACCACCCCCACGTGTTGTGCAGGTTCTTCAGGTGGTGTGGATATGTGTCGCTTCATCGGCCTGGTTCCGCACTCTCGTTCCAGGTGTCCAGGGGCTTCCTTTCCGCATCTTGTGCATTGTATGTCCGGACAGTCTCGTACCCAGTGTCGAGACAATCCGCATTGCCTACAGCTTCCCTTTGGGGTCCAACCAGGGTTGGGTTGCCAGTCGGCCGGGATGGTAGTGCTCTGCGGCGTTGCTTGGAGAAAAGGGGACGGGATCGGGGGATGCCTGAAGGCAGACATCGGTAGGGGTGCGGGTAGGGGTAGGTACGCGTTGGGGATGGCGCATGGGATGAATTTGTTGTGTCGTGCCCAGATGCTGTGCGGTAGGAGCGGTTGAAAGCGATGGGCAACTTTCAGGTTGTCGAGTCGAATGAGCTCGGTGAGGACATGGTCGTCCTGTTGACGTAGGAGCCGCTTGTGGTGGTCGATGGCCTCGTCGGCTGCCTTGACAGCCTCGTCGTATTCACGGCAGGCGGAGAGATACGCTTCTAGTGCAGCGCGGTCAGTGGCATTGGTTGCCTCGGGGTGATGGGTTTTGAGTTTATTGAAGACGTCGGTGGGGTTACTGAGAAGTAGTGTCAGCAAAGTGCTGTTGCCGACATGGGTGTGCTTAGGGGTGTAGATCGAAATCCTCTTTCTGCCCTCGGTTGAGGGGGCATTGAACTGATCGAGGAATGGGAGGGTGGAGGACATGTTGGTACGAGTAGGGGTGTAGCGACTGGGTTGAGCTGCTGTCGACTCAGTTCAAGTTCTTCCTCCTCTTGTACTCCGTTAGCACTTCGTCCGCAGTCCCTGTCAGGTTTGCTTCGGGTTCCCATGAGTCATCCGCAGTTGAGTAACCCTTCCACCTGACACGATATTTGCGGCGCCACATCCTCTTGTTCTCTCAGTGTCCGATGATGGCTTCGACTTTGTAGTTATCTTCGCCTTCGATAAGGTCAGGGGGTGGCCTCGTGTAGTTCGGACCATGGATCTCCGTCTCCGAGTAGGGAGATAGAAGCCATTCGTGGAAAATGGGGTGGACTCGCCAGGTGCTAGGGAGGTCTAGCTTGTACGCGACCATTCTGATCTTGTCTAGGACTTTGAACGGCCCTTCTCGCCTCGGGGCTAGTTTCCTGGATGGGTACGGCAGCTTCAAGTTCCGGGAGTCTAGCCATACCAGCTGACCTTTACGGAAGGAACCCCCCTTCCTTTTTACTCTCTTGGCCAGGACGTTCTGTGCCATCTCCATTGCTGCATGTGCTTCCTCGCGGATGTTTTGCAAGTCCTTGAGGCAATAAGCCGCTTGCGGCGTGTTTGATCCAGGGTGCGCGGTGGGTATTCCACACAGTTCATATCCCATCATGAGTTTGAATGAGGACGTCTTCGTCGTGGAATGCTCGTGGGAGTTGTGAGCAGATTGTGCGGTGTGAAGATGGTCAGCCCACTTATCCGGATCATTGGCAGTGAAGCAGCGGAGGTAGATCTCCAGCTCTTGGTTCACTCGTTCTGTCTCGCCGTCGGTCTGCAGGTGGAATGCCGTACTCATGGCCGATTGAATCCCAGTCATTTTGCAAAGTTCCTGGAAGATTTTGGACGCAAATTGCAGTCCTCGGTCGCTGATGATCTTGTCTGGGAGTCCAAACCACTTGTAGACCTCTCGGTACATTGCGTCTGCCGTCCCAAGAGCATCAATTGTTTTGTTGCATGGGATGAAAATTACCCCCTTCGTAAGGTCGTGGTCCACTATGACCAAAATGGAATCAAAGCCATTGGACGGTGGCAAGTCGGTGATGTAATCGCACGAGAATGTGCTGAAGGGCTTGGCATTTGCGCGGGGTCGAATGGGGGTGATGGGCAGTTGGGCTGGATGCGTGTTAACCTTCATTTGCTGGCAGATGCCACAGCCGTTAACATAGCGAGCAACAAACTGGGCCATGCTCAGCCACCAGTAGTCACAGCGCAAGCCGAGGAGGGTTTTCTGAACACCGGGGTGTCCTGCGGAGGGGAGGTCGTGATAGTGGGAGACGAGATGTTTGCAAAGAGACTCATTTGGGGGTACATAGACCCAATCCTGGTATAAGAGGAGGTCATCATCGATGGACCAGTCTGTTCCAGTGCGTGGTGTTCCTCCAGTGCGCGCCGCAGTGAGGCCTTCCTTCATTATTGGGTCATCCTTAAAGGAAAGGATGGTGTCGCGGGTGTCGATGTCGATGGCAGCGACCCATACTTCTGGTGGGAGCATAACGACGTCGGTGTTGTCATTAGAGCCGTCATCATGGTCAGGTCAGTGGGAGAGAGCATCGCTCTGCACCATTTGGGTACCAGGAATGTGTACCAGGTGGAAGTCAAACTCGGTCAGTTTACTCACCCAGCATGCTTGTCGTCGGTTCATGTCTTTGGCTTGTTTCCAATATGTGAGGTTCTTGTGGTCACTGAGAATCGTCACTGGGTATGGGCTGCCGATGAGGTAGTGCCTCCACTCATCTAGTGCGCGGATGACCGCATATAACTCCCTGTCGTAGATGTCATAGTTTCTCTCTGCTGCATTGAAGCTTTGAGAGAGGTATCCGCAAGGATGCCAGTCGCCGTTGTCGTCGCGCTGGCGTAGTACTGCTCCGGTTGCAAACTTGGAGGCGTCGGTTTCGATAGCGAAGGGTCGGTTGGGATCCGGCATGCGTAGTACCGGTTCTTCTAGAAATGCCTTCTTGAGGGTCTCGAAGGCTTTCTGTTGGTCAGATCCCCAGGTCCAGGCAATGTCCTTCCGGGTGAGAGCAACCAGCGGTTGCGCTTTGTCTGAGAAGCCTTTGATAAACCGGCGGTAAAGGTTTCCAAATCCAATGAAGGTGCGTACTTGCCTGAGGTTGGATGGCACCGGCCAATCTGCAATGCCAGCTAGTTTGACAGGGTCCATTGCGATTTCTCCTGGGCAGATGATCATGCTGAGGAATTCGACTTTGGTGACATCAAAGGCGCATTTCTCCGGTTTGAGGTAGAGGTCGTGTTGTTGAAGTCGTTCGATAACACATCGTGTTCGTTCCTCATGTTCTGCCTTGTCCTGGGAAAAGATCAGGATGTCATCCATGTAGATGCAGAGCCAGCCTTCTTGAAGCATGTCTGTGAATATTGTGTTCATCATCCGCTAGAACGTAGCGGGGGAATTACACAGCCCAAAGAACATCACCGTTGGTTAGTACAGCTGCGGGGGTTTGCCATCAGTTCCGGGTACGATGAACACTGCCTTCCATTCGTCCCCTTTCTTGATTCGGACGTTGTTGTATCCGGCGCGGAGGTCCATCTTCGTGAACACCTTGGCGTGCTTCAACTTGTCAAGGAGGTCCGATATAAGCGGGAGCGGGTACCGATATTTGACCGTGTTCTCGTTGAGCAGCCGGTAGTCTTGACAGGGGCGTAGTGAACCGTCCTTTTTACCAACAAAGAAGAATGGACTCACCAACGGGGATTTCGAAGGGCGAATGTACCCTTTACTCAGGTTCTCCTCGAGGAACTTGTCGAGTTCTTTTCACTGTTGTGGGTTGAGCGGGTAAACCTGTTGCTTCATGTCCGCGAAACCCTCCTTGAGGTTGATTTCGTGGTCATATTCGGTGTGGTCTGGAAGTCGTGCAGCGGTGCCTTTGTCGAAGACGGGGAGGAGATCATGCAGGTAGGATGGTATCATCTGTGGTAGCATTTTTTCTGTCTTGCCTTGGGTGTTCGAGGCCACAAGTTCGGTGGATGTTGTGACTCGCCTAATGTTGTGGTGTATTTTTCAGATCATGCCGTTGTGGAGTCGTTTGTAGCCGAACGAGAGTTCAGGGAGTCGTCCCTTGAGCGGAACATCCCTTACTGCTAGGGATTCCTGTTCCTCGTACTTGGTGATCATCGGTGTTCCTGATAAGTAGGAAATGATGAACTCATTGTCGTCGATGTCCTCCGCTTGTTCTTCAATGGACGCAATACCCGTTGACCCAAACCCATCCTCCCCGTGTTCAGTTTCGTCGATGCAGTTGGTTAGCGTTACTGGTGGAATGCTTATCCTTTCAAGGATGAGCTGGGCAACTCGGTCGCCGGCTTTGACGGTGAATGGGAGGTCAGAGTTATTGACCAACAGGACTGAGACCTTGCCTCGGTAATCGGAGTCGATTACTCCTGCAGCAACATCGATTTCTTTTAGCGCTAGACCGGACCGAGGTGTGATTCTTCCGTAGTGTCCTTCGGGGATAGCCATGATAAGATCGGTGCCAACCAGGCCTCGTCGTCGGGCAGGGATGATGAGTTGATGCGTGGCAGAGATGTCATATCCTGCTGCGCCACTAGTCTTTCGTTCGGGAAGGATTGCGTGCTCCGAGGTGGAGATGACAACGAATTCGTCCTCCGTTGGTTCTGGGAGTGGGGTAGTTACGGCCTTCTTCAGTTCTAGCCGAGCCACTCGCCTTTGGTACAGGTCCATCTTCCAGGCCCTGGTCTCGTCTTTCGTCCACCGGTGGTTTAGTTCAACTTGTCCAGTTTTCCAGTCTATCTTGGGGTTTTCGAGCTTGAGCCAGGTATGGCCGAAGATGATGTCTTCCTTGCCGATGCTGGCGACGTAGGCTTTGACAAATCGGGGTTCTCCGCTTATCTTGTAAGATAAGAGAGCTCTTCGCGTGATGAGTGCTTCTTTGTTCGGGGTTCCATCCACGTTGAAGACGGGGATGGGTCGGGGAAGGGGTTCTGTCCGAAGTCGATGTTCTCGGATGAATCTCGGGCTGATGAAGATTCCTGTTGCGCCGCTATCGATGAAAGCACGCGCCTCGACGTCTTTTTGTCCCACAGTAATTGGAATGTGCAGAGCGCGTTCATTTCGGACTACTAAAATTACACGGGACAGTGAAACGGATACGGGCAGTGGTTGCGTCGGCTCACCCTGCCCCTTCAAAAATCCTCCATCATAAGTTCTTCATACAACTCCCGCTTTTCGTCAGCGGAGAGTGTCTTGATTCTGGCGCAGAAGTCGTCCTTCCCAGATCCTCCCTGGTTCGGCCTCCCACCCCCTTGTCGTGCGGCCGCTTTCTTGCGGCAATCCTTGGCACTGTGGCCCTTGATGTGGCAGTAGAAGCACAGGTTCCCGTCCCTGTGGAGCTTCTGATCGGCCTTGTTGAGAACGGCTCCTAGTTCCCATTTCCTTCCTCCCGATGTGGAGGCGAAGGTTGATGCGACGGCAGCGGCGTCGATATCCATTGGTTCGCCATAGTCCCTGGTGTCTGTGATGACGAGAGCCCCCTGCTTGGCTGCATCGGCATTTCGGACTTCGTCGTACCAGGCCTTCATGGTGTTGGGTCGATCCCTAGTGACCCTTGTTGCAAGAGCAAAATACAGCTCCTTCAGGAGTCCTTTGACGAAGTTGGCATGGAGAGTGTGGTAGTCGTTCTCGATGCAGTTGGTGCCATTGACCTCGGTGTCCTTGAGCTGAGCCTTTGATGCTAGCTGCTCGAAGCGGGTGACGTAGTTACCGAGGGAGAGCGCCGTCTTCCTATCCTTCTGTCGTTCAGGTAGTTTCATCAGGATTTGATGTGCCTTGATTCGCGTTCCGTGCTCAGGGAACACCTCTTCTAGAGCGGCAACGAAGTCTGCCCAAGTGGAATAGACCTGGACTCCCCCTGCTGACTTTTCGTAATACGTGTCCGCCCATGTTTTCCCCAGATCCTTCCTCATCAGCGCTACAGTGAAGGCAATCTTTGCTTCATCGCTGAGTCGGGTGTTGTTGGTGGCGACGAAGTAGGAGAGGATGCATTGGATAAAGCGTCTGAGGTCCTCTGCTTTTCCGCTGAAGGGTTCGGGAGCGGGAATGTCGAGGTGAAGGGGTCGGTTGGCCGTTGACTGTTGGGATTGGTATGCTGTGAGGGTGACAGCGATGCGCTGATTGATGTCTTCTTGAGTGAACATTGCCATAGGGACTTCAACCGGTGCATTGGTTGGTGCGGGTGGAGCTGGTGGTAGTTTGATGTGCGGGATTTCGATGGGGACGTACTGAACTTCAGGGAGTTCGAGTGGTTGTTCGTTGATGGGTGACTGTGCACTTTCTGCTGTTTGCGTAGGTTCGACGTCGATCCGTAGGATGGTGAATATGTCTTCTGGGTGAGTGGGTGGGTGTCTCTGGTAGTAGCTAACGAGTTCTTGATGGGCGATGACCTACGGGTTTGGACCGGTGGCGCGACACCAGGTGCCGCTTTGAGGGTATATGGAAGCCCTTTTGGTGGAGGTGACGAAGCAGAAATCTGCTCAGTCGTACTGGAGGAGCAGTGATCCTGTGAGAGCTGGTAGTCCCAAAGGAACCAGGTTGACTGCGTTGTTCGACGTGATGGTGGATGAGATGTTTGACTAGGTAAAACTAGGAACATAGCTTAGAAAGTTCGACCTTTTGATACAACAGTCTATACTCCTATATCGATGCCTGACTTGTAGACGATGAGCGAGGACTTATGGACAGTACGTCGTCCTGAAGGTCGAGCGAGGAAGTCGAGAATGACCACTGTGAGAACGACGCCGGAAAGACCGCCGGCAGCCAACGTCCTCGATGGACAGGGATCAATGGTGGATAAGGTTACAAACCGATGGGGCTACCTACGGCGCGTGACGCCTACATAAGTCCTATTCCCACACCGGCGCATGACCACGTGACCCGGGCCGGCAGCGACACTTGCCCGACATACCCAAAAGTCAACAACCACTACCCCAAGCAAGGAGGAGCAGAGACTTGAATGAATAACCAGGTCGAACTTAGGGTTCGACCGACTAATGGTACAACTAGTTATACAAGTACCGGCTACGCACGGACCACTGTATCTGTGTGGTCGTGTTAGTAAAGAAGGAAACGTAGTGGTACGATACCAGGCACAAAGTGCGCACGGACCCCATTATGTAAGCTACATAATGTTCAACCCGTGGGTGAGCGCTAAGATGGGCACCAGTATGGGCACTAGTAGTACAAGAAATAGAATGGAAAGATAAATGTTTCATCTGGTAGACACTGCATGTCATCTCATAAATGCCACGCATGCAGTTGCGTACTGTTTCTGTAGCCGATATCCCGAGAACCATGGATATTGTAGGGGAATGCACTAGGAATGAAAGGGTCCAAGGCAGCACAATGCTGTTCAATACAAGTGCACTTCCTGTCCCTTGCCGAGAATCACCACACACAGTCAGGAAGTATGTCTGGCTCATCCGTGCAATTGGAGATGTCAGGATCAGTCCATTTGTACCTGTGGGTCAACGTGATCATATAAGCTCCAGTCGGCGACGGGTCGAGGGAGTTCTCCAATGAGGGCCGTTTTCTAACAGACGATGCTGGATGTTCAAGGTTTGACGAGCATGTGCAAACCGTGGCAACATAAGGTACGGGGCTAGATGTCAAAACTTGGGACCGCGTCTATATAGCATTGGAGTTGGAATAAGAAACATCAGTCAAACACTTGCCTGCAAATGTGGTGGAGAATGTACCTTGAGAAGTAGCTTTCCACCAAACAAACCTTTTGCACAACAGGCTGCACATCGCCAGCTTGCTCTTGTCGATAAGCGAGCATCTCTGCATCCTCAAATTCTGCAGGGGGTCCTATCGTCCACTCATCTCAAGCTTGGTCGCATTCCAAACACCACTGACGAATGCCGACTTCCCGTTCAGCGTCTCCGATGTAATCCTGGCTGCTCGCACTGGTGTCGCCAAAACATCTCCTCTTAATCCCTAAGAGGATTGGCCGGAACTGGCGACAAAAGCGGACAGTTTCGTCATCCAACAGAGGAGAACAATACTGCGTTCTGGGGGGGCGGTAATAATTCTTAGGACAGGGTGAGAGCTCGCCCGTTGCCCACAACCGTCTATGTATTATGTGCCCTCTTCGCTAATTGCGTGCTTACGCCGATGCAGGTCTACAATTATTGCATCATCGCAGAGGAAGAGCACCCTCCAGACTCGTGCGCGACCATGAATAATATCATCACATCTTCCGTCATGAATGCTCCTTGCTCATACCGATCGTTCGGATGGCATGAACTGAATGCCCATCTCCATCTGATGATATCCCGAGCAGGCCAGAAATTGAGCAAGCGACCGCTGCACCACCAACATGTCTTGCGGGATCTGTTGCCCCACAAGGAGGTCAATCACGCATACAGCATCATTGAATGGCATGGGACATGGACGGCCCCCTTGACTCACGAGATGGTACCCGACACAGGGCAATACTTAAGCTTCTGCAAATGATCAGGATGGGGTATTATCAATAAGCGGTTTGTCTCCCAGAGTTCCCGGAGGTCGCGTCGAACTGCATGCGGTAAGTGAGGTGGCAAAGAACAGAGAGGACATTGCAAAATACGCACGGAATATGATATTTCCAGGTGCGTAGCAACGGAGGAAGTTGTGGTTTGTTGACGGCCAAGCGCATCCGTTCGCCCCGCGTGTGCGTGCGCGCATGACGCCGCGTTATCGCGTCGGGATCAGCGCGACGTTGTCGCGCCCCTGGCGTTCCTGACCCGCACTATATATCCGGACTCCTTTTCGTTTAGCCACGTACCGTAGATACTGGCGACTCACCGCATTACGATACGTTATATACCGTCCCTGTTTCGATGCGAGCTTCAGTTGATCTTACCTCACTGAAGCTCGTAAGTCCCTATATTTCCCTATGCACTGTACATGCGCTGATCCCCTGTAAAGTGACCAGTAGTCGCTAGGTACAGTAATAAAGAGTTGATCTTACCTCACTGAAGCTCTGACCAGTAGTCGCTAGATTCGACGTCGCTCGTACCTCGTTAAGATAGTTTGTACACATGTTAAACATAATGTAGTCCATCTTCCAATTCACCTTGTCAGCCACAAAGCTAGAGTATTGGACACGCCTACTTACCAACAGCTGAGGCATGTCAGGAGGTAATATATAGCACGCCTCCACCTCAGCAGACACGCAGCCGGTGATCATGCATCTCGGGTGAGGTCCGAAAGGAACACCGTCCTCGACCTTGGACACGTCGCTCGGGGTGCCAGACATTTGCATTCTCTTCGCACGCATTTCATCAATAGCCGTGTCTGCGTGTCGTTTTCGCCGCATATGACAGGAGCTGCTTTCAAGTGGCGAAACTCGTTCGATGTGGACAAAGACCGGATCGATCGCATACGGATGAACCTTGTTTATCTGGTAGTCTCGGCTAGGTATATGCACGGAATAGTCCTCATGATGACTCGATGGGATGCAGTCGGCTATAGAACTGGACGAAGGATGTGCAGAGCTTCCCCGCAGCGAAGAGTGGCCGCCCAAAAGCTCAGGGGTCCTCAGTTCGCGTCTGAGGTGGCCAACGGCAGAGACATGAGCCATGTGAGAGGCATAGCTAGTGGAAGCTTCCATTGCCGCATGGTGGATGGCGCAAGTTCATGGAAGGTAGTGGTTGTGTTGGACCAACAGCGTGCGCCACTGATGCCTTTGGGTGATTGCTTAGTCAGCACCACCGTTAGGTCCGGTTGCGAATTACGCCTCCAATCGCCCGTACACGCAAAGTTCTGGTACACGTTGTAGGTTTGTCCTCGACCAGTCCGACTCGGCGCTGATTGGCGTGCTCAGTGTGCTCAGCGTTGGGTGTTGAAACACGCCGACCCGCGTGGTCAGGAACGAGCTCGCAAGCTCGGGCGCGCGAGTAGCCGGGGGCCGGAGGCCCCTATCGTAGTATATAACGACCCCGCGCGATGTACGTACCGCACGCGATTGTCCCTTACGGGCATCGCTACGCCCGTGGACAAACGCGCCCCGCACCGTTCGCACCGTTGTTCCAACATTGGGATGTTCGGCTATGGCATCGGTGCTGCCGTTGTCCTGCCGGATCCTCAGACGACACACAGTATGTGTCGTAGTCACCTGCAAGCGGGCCTTTCGATGTTATCGTTACAGCAGCTCTGTTCAGCGAGCCATTTTTGCTATTGCAGCATGCATTGAGTTATGGCACTAGGGCACGATGCCTGCCTGACGAGGCTCCAGATGGTGTGGTGGCGTAGTCGCTGTGGCCTCCGGACCCCTTCAACGCGTGGTAGTGTCCTGAATCTCACAGATGTTCACGGGTGCGACCTCTAGACTTCTACATGAACGAGCGGGTCTCCCACAAGCCTCAACGACTTACCGATTCAATGCAACATACTCCAAGTATCCCGGGTATTGTGAGAGTCAATCATTTCCTGGTAGCTATTTCTTGAAGAGAAAGACGGCGGTCGTCAGGGGATCGACAGCCTGAGGTTGATCTGTGGGGGCAATGGTCTCATTGTGCGTAGACCTTCGATTGCGTCTCGCGTTGACGCAAGCAATACTGAGTACATCAGGATCCTTGTTTACACCGCACATATTGTGCTCATGCAGCAAACGTTGGGCCCTTGTTAAGCATCAACGTGGCGTACGGGGGACCAGCTATGGGCTGATCATCGTACAGGGTGAGGCTCAGAGGTTGAGTCTTGGATCCACACCTAGGAGAAGACTACCTCACATGTTCGACACGTTAACATTGTCCCACGATCAGTCGTTATATTCCATCAGGGAGGCGAACGACCTGTGTTCCTAGACTCACAGGCGAGGCATGCGGGAGCTTCCAAGCTCTGATACAGATTGAGCTATCAGAGATGCTCTTGACGTTTGTCAGCTTACGATCATTTCTAGCCTCGAGTGACCAAAACTCGAGAAGGCATCAGTTGCAAACTGGTATCAAGCGCGACGCGATGTCACCGACTCACTGCACCAGAACGGTTGATACACGCTAGGTGTAGTCTCGCAGACTCTGCTGCCTTCGGTGACGCACGGCTTTCAGGCTGGCGAAAGTCAGGGGGGGCCATTGCTCGAAGTTATCACTGCTATGATTCTCATTGGCCGATCATTGATCGCGACTTGCTCTAGGCGCCGGCCTTTCGTAGTCTCCGCGTGAGTCCTTTTTAACGTCCTTTGACGACTGATGCGTCAAGTGCCTTATACGCTCATGAGCCGAGTAGTGACCAGATTCCGCTCGCCTCGACACTGTATGAATGTATTTACGACCGGCGTTTCTATACTCTCCCATTACTAGACAGCGCGCTCGTACTAATCCTTCAACTCGATTTGCCAATCACGCCCAGGCGTCGTACATGATAGGCTTGATTGTTGGGGGACTACGACATGAAGTCTCAAATGAGCAAAATGGCATTCATGAACCGGTTGTGCACTGTAACGCCCTGGAATGTCCCAAATAATGCAACCGGCCTCTCGTGTCTTCGACAAGTATCGTTATGATCAGATTGCCTTTCACAGACATGGTGTAGAAAAATGCATAGATGGATGCATGATGGGCTACTACATAATTGGGCAATACAAGGTTAGTCATAGCAAGGCATATTTTGCATGTCCAAACTGGCCATGGGGCTGCATACATCCTGATAGTCACTCTTGGGCCAGCTTCGACTGAGTAACGCGTGGATTTCTTGGTTCCGACTAGAATTCGCATCCGTTATGATAGGAGTATGAATGAAATACAGCCAACGCACCGATTAAGACAGCTAGAGCGAAAGGTCACCTTGGGTAATGGGATGCAAAAGTGTGCTGTCTGGCTTTTTGTTTGTGTATCGTTGGAAGAGAGCCAGCATATTACGGAGAACGTCGATCGCTTCATAGTCGATTCCGTGGCGCTTGTAGAAAGCATCTAGAGCCATTCGGAATCCCTCTAGTCCACTCTTCGATAGCATCAACCCCGCATTGTATATAACGAATTGGGGAGGAACTGGAGATTCCACATAGGCTAAGGTCTTGACATCCCTCGGAAACGCAGCTTTTTCCTCTGTATCTGGAAGGTCGCGATGGGCAACGACACAATATCTGTAGACGGGGACATCGGACGCTGCAAATAGCTCGGCTAGCGACTAGATAGCACCGTGAGCAAGATACCAGTTTAGGCCATATCTCTGGACTCACCGAAGCTCCACCTATGGGGACAACAGATCGTGCGAGATAACTGTCGATAATGTGAGGCTCAGGCACGAACATGAGATGCCCTTGGTCCCACAAGCAGTGGATATCGGCTCTCACTACGTGGGATATGGATCAGGGCTACGCTGACCGACCGGGACATATACGCTCACATAAGAAGATATTGAATGGGGAGTCGACGTCAAATTCATCAAGCCCCCACCACGCCGCCACTCTCGCACACTACATGTGCGGATGCATACGAATCAGGGTTGCACGAATTTCACCATGGACTATTGGTGACTTACTCTACGATCGTCGGTTCTTCGGGGGACAACGTGACACCCTTGGACTGACTTGTCATCCTGAAGACTAAGCAAGCACCGCGATCCAGTAGGCGCCAAATGGGCAGCATACAACTTCAGATTGCTACCGCACGGTTCGCCTTCAGGCTTTGGGGCCTTCGCCTTGGGGTGTTTGTCCTGATCCAAAGCTTCTGGACCCACAGGAGCTGTAGCGCCACACGAGGACGTTGAGGTAAGTCCATGCCACATGACAAGGCAAAGCATAACGTCGTACCTTTGGGGTGTTTTGGCGTCACTGCTTCGCCTGTAGAAACCGTGTCGAGAAGACTACAAATAGGGTAGGTGAATGCGACGCCACGGCTCAAACGTGCTCACTGACCTGGATGCTTCCTCTGCCGCTTGCTCCTTTTCCTCCTTCATGATCAACTCTGCGTCCCCGGGTGGTGGCGCAGTCCACACGTCAGACAAGGTCAGGACATCCTCCACGAAGCTGGATGCGTCGACTTCGAGCTCAATTCTCTTGCAGAACGCCGTCAGCGCCTCCACCCATAGTTCCTTGTTCTCCTTGAGCTTCATGGCCGCGTTCAAGGCCATGAAGTGCGGCTTCGCATGGGACCGGATGATCCCAACCTTGTCGAATCTGTAGGTGAACCCTTCGCAGATCGGAGAGTTGCCAGGGGCAGGTGCACCGGCCACAAGGTCTGGGTGAGGAATCACACAGTACTCGTGGATCTTGGCTTCGTCGCTATCCTATACGCATTGTGGCGACGACTCGCATCAGCCGTTGATTATCAGGCTGCAGAAACTCACCTCCAGAACCTTGTGTCTGTCACCATCCTGCCACTTAGCCAAGTATTCCTTCGTCACGTCAGGCATTGGCATGATCGCAATGTATCCACGATCCCACAATGCATGGAGATCGGCACGGACTGTATGCAAGTAAGTCCACGCGTATCGGCATGCGTCCTGGAAAGAAGACGCACGGAAAACCTGATTGTGGCGTGAATCCACGCTGAGCTCTTTGATGTCCCACCACCACTCCAGAGCCGTGAGCTATGTATGTGTGTATGTACACCGTCAGAGACACCGCCTGCGCTCAAGGGCCACTTGAACTTACCACATCCGGCTTTGTGGCCCGTGGCAACACATGGCATTGCTGAACGGATTTGTCTTTTATGCCTGATATGATGCAGGCACCCTCATTCTGAGACGCATCGATGGCGCGCTGTCGTGAACTCCTTGTGATGCAGGTCTTGCGTATCACTCTCCGTGATGGAGACCTCTGATTCTCCGGCGCGCGTGTTGGAATCCTCTGATTCTCCGGTGTGCCTTCCCGGGACGGCGTATACTCGTCTTCTTCGTCTAATGCTCCCCTTTTCCGTTTCCCATCCGCCGTCTTGTTCTCGCAGTAATCAACTGTGGCCGGGCCACCGTCAGGGCAAACCCGTCAACGGTAACGACGAGGACCCATACCTTTCGGCAAATGTTTCAGTCTATTAGATCGTCTCGGTTTGAAGCCGTCAACCATGGCGAGGACATTTGGAGGTGAAGTGGAGGGTGGAGGTGAAGAAAGAGACGGAGAGTGTGAGTGGCTCGAACGGCTTTGGCTGAGTTCATATTATATGTTGTGAAGCGCGTGACCACAGGCCACAGAGGCCATTGTATTCCAATTTGGATCTTGTGGGCATCGTCGACGCGGGTCAGTGACTGGCGACCTCCCGCATATTACCTAAATTGCATAGTCTGTGCGAGATGAGTCCTTGTAGTTGTGATATCAGATGCGCCGTCTGAGGCGCGGGAACCGTGCCCCACTGATCGGAGAGACACACTGTTAAGGTCGCATATGGAAGCACGCTTGTCATCTGCTGATTCGGAATCGCACAGTCAGTCTGCGGCAGACTCGACTCAAAGGCACGAAACTCACCTAGGACATGTTGAACGACTTGACTTGCGCGAAGCATTCCTAGGTGAAACGTCTATCTGTTCGCCTCAAAGCCATGTTCTCACCGCAAAATGGCGACCCGAGTGACTGTGAATGAGACTGCTCAGAGAGGAGTATATCATGACATCGACGACAAAGCTACAGTTATTGACTCGTTAAGAGTTTGCCAAAGAAAGCTAGAATCGACACGGCACACCGCCCTTGTCTGCCGAGGGCTTCAAACATTCTCAGAATGATGCATATGGAAGACTTGTACCTATATCATGTACAAATCCAAGCCTTATGATTAAACAGATCCAGATGGATTCTGATGACGAGCATGGAGGTCAGATACGAATGTCTTTACATTGTCAACGTTTCGTTCGACATATCGACACACTCCCCACTAGGGATTCTTCCCAAGATGGTGCGTAAGACTCTATACTGAGGAAGCGACGATTGCAGCACTTTACGACAATCTCAGTCGAGGTGAACGTGCCCGTAGAGGTCATTCTGCATCATATGGAGAACTGAATCAGGACACGGAAACAGCGATGTAGTATTCCGTGATAACAAAGACTTACGTCTCTGCAGCAGTCGAATGTGAGCATCTCTGAAATACGAACCAGACCGCAGGGACAAAAAAACGCACCCGACATGCATGCCAACTGTGCGGTCCTCACACAGGAGGCTTGAAACGTATTCTGGCATGAAGCAATCAAAGATGCTGGGTTCGGCGTCTCACAAACCTCATGGGACTCACAAGGCTCACAAATATCTATGCGACTGCATAGAAGTGATGTACGCACCCGAGGAAGCATAAATGCACTACAGTAGATCGACTACACCAGTCAAGACGTGATTGGCCTCGGGGTTCTCCGAGAGTAGCGCTGACTAAGCACCCGCTAAGGGCACTGGTGGCGCGCGCTGTTCGCGCTACACCATCGTCACTATCCCGCCGAACTCGCGTTATAGTCAACACAAAAATGAATGTTCTTAACATCCTTATTCCTGACATGTTCTATATGCTCGCTGCTGAGCACCCCCCACGCGAAAATACTCCTGCGCTTTCGGACGACACTGGCAGCTCCTCTTCGCGCGAAAGCTCTCCACCGGCTACACCTGTCTCTGGACTCAGCCGTGCACCATCTATCTCTTTTGATGACGATTCTAAGCATACACCCACTGGCGATGGCACGGATATCAAGATTGTCGAACCAGACGCGGACTCCTCGCCACCAGAAGACATCACGCGTCCGCTGAAACGGAGACGGCTGGCGGACATAAGGGCTGATGAATTGCGCGCAGAGACAGTGCTGCCGCCTGACATATTGAGTGACGCCACCAAGGCGGATTATGATACCTCATTCTGTCCTGAGCATATACGCATTGGCGACTGCACAAGTGCCGGGGACGTCAAGCCCGACTCGGATGCGGTGCACCCGTCTCTTGAACACGTCTTCCGTCCGTTGAAACGGAAGCGACTTGTGGACATGAGCACTGATGATGCTTGCGCAAAGAGGGCGCAGACGTCCGATATCTCGAGCGGCGCCGCCAACATTGAGGACAGCGCCTCATTCGATCTTGGGCATATACCCATCCACGACTGCACGAAAATCAGGGTCGCCGAACCGGACGATGTTCACCCAGTCTCCCCCCACATTGACCTACACGCGCCACTTGAAGCCATCGCTCGCCCGCCGAAGCGAAAACGGTGTGCAGACACGACGACCGATGAGGTCCGTGTTAAGAGAAGGCGGTTGTCTGACAGTCCGAGCAACGCGTCAAAGCTCAAATATGGGGGTCCTTTCGGACCTCATCCTAGATGCATGATCACGGGTTGCGCCTCTGCTGAGGTGGAGGCGTGCTATATCCTGCCTCCCGATATGCCTCAGCCGTTGGTGAGTAGGGTGATTACTGCTTCGACGTCGCGGCTAAGAAGGCAGCTTTGTAGGGTGATCTCCGCACGCCTAATGACATTAGTCCCGCCTATTGTAGCGCGCCGGCGAACATCATATTCCGTGCGTGCTTGCTCATATCTAGCCCCTTCTGCCTTCTCTTACAACCCTCATGCAGTTCGACACGACCTCCGCATACTATGGGAAACGAATCGCCTGCTGATGATACCCCATCCCGATCATATAGACCACCCCGATACCCGCCCTGTATGTATCGTACATCCCCTCAGGTGGTCGCTGCACTCACCGTCAAGTAGGCCTACAAATACTGCGTCGTTGTAGAGGATGAGCACCCTTCAAGCTCGTGCATCCCCAAGGATTATACCATTACACCTCCAGTCGCGACGGCTTGTAGCTCGTATCGCTCGCTGGGGTGGCACGAGCTGAGTGCGAATCTGCATCTGATGACAATTCGAGTGGGTCGTGAATTTATCAAGCGACCGCTCCACTACGAGCATGTGTTACACGTGGACGCTCTTGCGCATATACCCGTAATCAGGCTAGCCCACCTAGATGCAGTCAAGCCGGTCTCCCCCCACAATGAACGAGAGTCGTCAGTGGAAGGCATCCCCCGCCTGTCGAAGCGGAAACGGAGCTCAGACGCAGAGACTGATGAAGTCCCTGCAAAAAGAATGCGAATGTCGGTCTCTGCAAGTGAGGCGTCCGAGTTGGAGGACGGTGTTCTTTTCGGACCTCACCCGAGGTGCATGATCACTGGCTGCGTGTCTGCTGAGGTGGAGGCGTGTTATATATTACCTCCTGACATGCCTCAGCTGTTGGTGAGTGGGCGTGTCCAATTGTCTGGCTTTGTGGCTGACAGGGTAAATCGGAAGATGGATTACATGACGTTCAACATGCGTACCACCTACAACTTCCTCCGTTGCCACACACCTGGAAATATTATATTCCGTTCGTGTTCTGCAACGTTCTCTCTGTTCATTGAAGCCTCACATACCGCACGCAGTTCGACGCGATCTCAGAGAACTTTGGGAGACAAATCGCTTGCTGATGATACCCCATCCTGATCACTTGAACAAGCTTGAGTATTGCACTGTACGTATTTTATGCGCTCCCGGCCAATCGCGTGCTTATGATCATGCAGGCGTACAAGTATAGCATCATCGCAGAGGAAGAGCACCCTCCAGACTCGTGCACAACCATGAATAATATTATCACACCTTCCGTCATGACGGCTCCTTGTTCATATCGGTCGCTCGGATGGCATAAACTGAATGCCAATCTCCATCTGATGATATTCCGAGCAGGCCAGAAATTGAGCAAGCGACCGCTGCACTACCGACACGTCTTGCGGGATCTGCTGCCCCCAAACGAGGTCGATCATGCATACAGCATTCTCGAATGGCATGTGACATGGACTGCCCCCTTGCCTTGCGAACTGGTACCCGACAGACGGTTGTGGGCAACGGGCGAGCTCTCAGCCTGTCCTAAGAATTATTACCGCCCCTCCAGCAAGCAGTATTGCCCTCCCCTGTTGGATGACGACACTGTCCGCTTTCGTCGCCAGTTCCGGCCAATCCTTTCAGGGATAAGGAGGAGACATTTTGGCGACACTAGTGGGAGCAGCCAGGATTACATCGGAGACGCTGAACGGGAAGTCAGCATTCGTCAGTGGTGTCTGGATTGTGATCACGCTCGAGATGAGTGGATGACGGGACCGCCTGCGGAACCTGAGGATGCAGAGTTGCTCGCTTATCGACAAGAAGAAGCTGGTGATGTACAGCCTGTTGTGCAAGACCTTTGGCAGCTCGAAGATCATTTCTCGAGGTACGCTCTCTGCCACGTTTGCAGGTGAATGTTTGGCTGACGTTCCTGTTTCAACTCAAATGCTATACAGACGCGGTCCCAAGTTTTAACACCTGGCACCGTAGCGCATGCTGCCAGAATTGCAAAAATGCCTGTCAGGTCATGACCACCCAGAATGGTCTTTCGGAAAATCTCGTCGACCCGCTGTCGCAACTAGAGCTTATGTGATCACATTGATCCACAGACTCAGATGTACTGACCCTGGCATCTCCGACCCTCACGGATAAGCAAGATGTGCTCCCTGGCCGTGCATTGCGATCGTTAGCAAGGGGCGGGAAGTGCACTTGTAGTGAAGAGCATTCCATTGCCTTGGTTCCTTCATTCCCAGTACATTCTCCCATGATGCCTGTAGCTCTTGCGGCATCGGCTGCATCTCGAACTTTACTTCCGGCCGTGGCGATGATATGCAGCTACATGCGTGGCGTTGGCGAGATGGCGTGCGGCATCTACCAGGCGTCGGTGCATACCGTCTTGCTTCTATTGAAAACATCCGGTATGTCCAATCCGTGTTCCGTCTACTCCGTTCTCTAATGTCAGCACACAATTTCTAGTTCTTCGAGTAACAACTCCCTCGCAATATGGCTCCACGCGGTGTAACCACAAGACATCAAGATCTGACTTCGCCCCTAGAAAATCGGCTATGCCTGGCATGCTCAAAAATGATGGGTCATGCTGCATCACAGCTGCGAGCAGCAGCATGATATACAATGCGAACTCATGAGACAATATACCCGTATGTACAATCGGCAGCAATTCGATGTTGGTGACTGACCGGAAGGCATCTTAGGCCCAACCCTTGGGCATCGGATTTTCGTATGGCTATCTGCCTGTCTTCAACCAGCAGGAAGCGGCAGTCGATTTGTGGAATACAAGAACTGCAAGCATGTGGGATCGTCGATGCTGATCGTTCCTGCAAATCATCTCCTCCGGCTCTCGATCCCGCAACTACCAGTGGTAGGCTCTGAGCTTCAGACAGAATTGTAATTCATTTCTCTGCCGTAATGACTAAATATGGCAGCTGATACCGCTTTGCAGAGATGGTGGCCGCTGTGGCCCAGCCTTCTCTGCGTGAGGTATCTCATAAACGAGACAGGCGATATTCTTGAGATAAGTATGGCGGAGTACACGGCTTCGTGTACGATGAACACGTCAATCTAAGACGAACCTATGGTACGTTCCTTCATGTGTATCTGATACTTCATCTCACACGAAGCTCAGGACTTGTTGCTGCGATACCCAAATTACATGATAGACAGTCAGAACAATCTGTCCGTAATTCCTCGCCATACGCATCACTCGACTGATCCTGTCAACCGCCCCAGACACCTCCTCGTGTTGTCGCTAGCAGTCGCATCTGTCGTTCAGACGTAGGCCGCCGGAGAGATTAGGTAAGATATACATCTGTTGGGTTACACACGCGCCTCCTGATCTAATTCTACGACTAGATTCGGGTGTGCTACGAGAACGAGCCACAGCACAACCCTCAGCGGTAGCTTAGTCGGACTGTGTCGCTGCGCTTATATACCCTCTCTTGGACGATCGCGACTGAGTGCGCATCTTGTAGTCCAACTTGTCGTTTATCCTCGTCACTGGCGTGAGAACTTATCCTATATGAGGGCAATGCTGTAAGCTGATTTCTTGACCACGGCCTAGGACCCGCTGACCCGGTCTTCAAGACTGTCACCTCCATCATTTTAGCATCCTCCCAGTCGTAGTTGTAGATCTTCTCTGTGAACTCGAGGCTACATTGATCTCGTGGTCGGACAGGCCGACCATCCTCGGACTCAGAATAGTGACGAATAGTTCCAGATACCATCAGTGAATAATTCGCCCACACACAAGTATTTTGGCATACGTACGATGACATAACACTGCCGCAACGTCAAGGAAACACAAGCGTCCCTGCACGACCTGGTGATCGCTTTATACCCCACCGCTTCCTCGCTGGATAGGTTAAACGAGTGCATTCCCGTGCTCTCTCGGTCGGCCTCGCATTTCAAAGAGCTCACGTACTTGGTGCCCGAATAGCTCACGAGCAATACAAGCGAAGCGACTGCGTGGTCCATGTGCTGAGATTGCCGCCTCGACCCTACCAAGGAGGATTTGCGCGACCTGGATTCAGAACCGATGACACAACCGCCTAGTATGTGGCCCGGCTTGCTTGAGCTCACGTTCCGTGTTCAATCTTCCTAGTCGCTATGCTTTATCATCGCGCCGCGCGTGGAGCCCTCCTCCGGCCACACAAGCACTCTGGTCTTTCCCCGTGCTTCGGATACCTCAGATACCTCGGCATCTCCTCTGGCTTTCGTAGATACTCACTCGATCAGAGCGTTTTCTCTTGTAAACGTGTTTGGAGCATGCTCGTCCTGTTAGCAGCCGTGCTGGCCGTACTCACGCGCCGTGCGAAACCACACGCACGGGGGTTGGGCACACAAATATGGGACCTTGAGCAAAGTAGCCCTGTGGCATTAGATCATACACGCTTACCCTGTCTCTCCCTCGCGAACAGAGGTAGAGCATGAGATATTAGAGTAATCGATGTTCTATCACTATTCGGTCGTCTCATCTGTAGATCTGTAGTCAATCAAGTCTTCACCTGAGGGCTTGTTGAGATTCGGAACATAACGAGAATGGTACGTGCACTGCGATAAGGTCGGGCGAGCTCATTCAGATGAAGAATTGCGCTACCTCAAGATTGAGAGGCGCTATTTGACAGCGGTCAACGACTATGCAAGACACTACCTAATTGAAATAGATTTCTAAGAGTGCTATGTGACAAACGGACCGGTCATTGTGAGTTGTTGCCATCGATAGCATCGTTGAGAGTGAAGACACGAGCTCTCAGGACTCGGAGGCCAGTTGAGCTTAAACGTGCCTGGCCCATCGTCTGCGGGAAGACTCGTACCAATGAGTACCTCAGGGCATACATGATAGAGGAGACAATTAGGAACGCGGAATACCTCCTCGCAGGCTTGCTGTGAACGTGCCCTGGCTCGCAACGTGTGGGATGGGACAAGTTTAGACTTTCAATGATGAGGGGGCTTACAATGAGGCTGAGCATGAGCGCTATGGCAAGTGCGCGACTGTGAGGTCAGTCAATAGTTTTCTTAGATGTTCACGCGTCGACGAGGAAGCATAGCCGATCAGCGGTCTATTGGTCTAACGAAACGCCGCTCAAAACTAGCTGTGTCACAGAATGAAGCAGGAAACGGAAACACGACAGGACCACACATACCACACTGCATTGGAGTGAACAACAGCTATTCGTAGGACGAACGTCCTTAAAGAGCGAGTTAACAGGCCCGTCAACTAATCCCCAGAGGACAACGTTGCCCATATCACCCACTGCGATCCTGATTATGGTGTGCTTGTATGCTCTGTGTCTGCCAGAGAATTGACAGTCTCCTAAAGATTCCAAGGGGCTCGTATCTCCTCTGGCGCGTGTGAAATCGTTACCGCAAGCTAGGGAGCCAAGGGCGTAACAAGGATGAACTTAGTCAAGATGATTGTCATCTGGCGAGGCCGCTGATACACGAATTCCGCCTGACGCAATAGCACTAGCTCCATGTGGCATTTCCTGTACATATTCGTCGAGGCGAATTTGGCGAGCATAGTCTAGTCAATACACCGTTCATGAGCGTGTGGGCAAGGAGAGAAACGGCAGGCGCCCAAAACCAGACGCGATCGATCGGCCAATGGAATCGTCAGAGTGGAGCGCGACGAGTAAGTAGCTTCGAGCGATGAATCCCAATTACTACTTCTGCAAGAGAGGCTGCGCGCCACCGAAAACAGCGGAGTAGATGAGACTACTCGGGCTGCTCCAACAACTAGCATCTCCGAAGTTCGGTCCAGGAACGGGTCAGAACCGTCCGAACCCTGAACCGAACCTGCGGTTCAGGTTCGGTTAAGCTCGGTCCACGGATTTCCCCGACGGTTTGGTTCACAGCCATCAAGGACCGGTCCGAACCGTGAACCGGAATCAAGTCTCGCTGCTCGCAAAAAAATACTTAATCAAGTTTGAAATACTATTTGATATTAGTCTAACCAACAGACAATGTCTCGATCTTTCCACATGACCAGCGCGTGCTGCTCCCCGAACAGTGTCGTGATGCATACCCTGCCATCCATCGGGGGATGCCGCTGCCTGCCGAAATAGGCAGGCTTACATAAGCTAAGATTGGCGAATGCAACAACTATTACGTGTCACACCTTGCATATCCTTTTCAAATGGTGAGTCTCTTGTATGTCTATGTGTAATACTTATAGTGTGACCCCAAAATTTAAAACTAACATCTTCTATATAACCATTCAAGATTTGAAGGTTCACCAGGTTCGAACCTGCTCCAAACCTGCCGAACCCGTTCAGAGGGTTCGGTCCAAGGTTCAGTCCAGTTCAGACTAGTGGTATGTAGGTTCAGTTCAAGGTTCAGGGCAAGAGGCCCCTGAACCAAGCTAAACCAAACTTCGGAGACACTGACAACAACCATCACAAGTCGTGCCACACACATCTTAAGGCTCCAACCATTTCATTTGTTTACTATCTATAAACAGTTTCCACTGTTTACTATATATATTTATTTACGGTCAGGGCATAGACAGTAAATAGATTGTAAATAAATGGTATAAACAGTTGGGGGTCGGGGATACCAAATATAGTATATTCCTGCCATGAGGCTACTGCTCTCTGGTACTATGGAAGCCGATGTGAGAACAATGCTGGAAAGACCACTGGCAGACAATGTCCTCGATGGACAGGGATCAATGGTGGATAAGGTTACAAACCAATGGGGCTACCTATGGTGCACAACACCTACATAAGTCCTATTCCCACATCGGCGCACGACCACGTGACCCGGGCCGGCAGCGACGCTTGCCCAACATACCCAAAAGTCAACAGCTGAGTGCCTTACTTACTTCTTACTTTACTTATTGGTTTGTTCTTTGCAAAACATGATCACAATCCCGGCAATTCCAGTTATGCAAGTAGCTAGTCAATTTTTCTGTCTGGGTTCATGCTCACTTCTCAACGCACCTGTGAACCTTGTATGTACATTGTTGTAGTATGTAGTCTGAATGCTCACATATACATTTGTGTTTCCTACCCCACACGCACATCAATTGGATGTCCAATGCTCTGTTCCTGCACCTATCATACAAGCGATGTGCACAAAGCATTGGATTAGGGATGGTTTGCTTAAGTTATCATAGGTATTTTATAACTGTATAAAACTGTTTGCAAACAGTTTAAAACCATCTGTCTACTATTTACCATTTATTTACACTTCAGCTGTAAATATAAACTAAATGGTTGGAGCCTTAACACATCTGACCCATTAACTGCACACTTGCACGACACATACTTGCCATGACTGACTCCTATGCTTGGCCTTACCATAGGCCTCCTCATCCTGACCATCCACTCCTTGTCCTGCAGCCACATGCTCCAAGCCTTGGATCCAGAGCACATCCATGACAATCCCCACCGCGCCCTCAAAGTCCCCATTCTTAACACTGTCCATCATCATATTCGCGCTCAATTATCCCTTAGCACAGGTATCCCTGCATATGATGAACTAGGTACAGATACAGTAGACCTTTTATTGTGCAACAAGCGGCATGCAAGCTCACTCATCTAGGACTCGTGTCATACATCAGGAAAATGGGAAGTTCTCTGAGACGCTGAGTCAGCACTTCCAGAGTGTTCATTCGGCTTCAGTGGGCTGTTGAAACACGCTGACCCGCGTGGTCAGGAACGAGCTCGCAAGCTTGGGCGTGCGAGTAGCCGGGGGCCGGAGGCCCCTATCATAGTATGTAACGACCGCGCACGATGTATGTACACTACGTGATTGTCCCTTATGGGCATCACTACGCCCGTGGACAAATGCGCCCCACGCCAATGTCACACACCAAAGCAGTTTGGCACAGATACATAAATAAAACAGTCATATACACAAACTATTATGCAGATGTCTAATATACCATTTCTTCAACCATGCACTATACGCTTAATGAGGACAAATAGGAATGCTAATCGGAAATATCCACATACCAGCCTGAAAACTGTAGGGCCTAAAACCACCGAGCTTCCACCTCATCAAACTGCTGGTAAATATGTGCCAGCCATGCATCGAGATGCTTCTGCTCGCGCTCCCAAATACCCAGATGACTGGAAACCCCCATCACTGTATCTAATTGCCCATCGTTCTGGACTAGGTTGACATAGTCATCATCTACACTGATCCTCCACAAAATCAGTGACAAATAAAAAGAAATAAAAGAGAAGATAGGCACCAAACCATATCAATCGACGACAGCATCACTTGATCAGCAATAGAGCATCCTAGCCCACTGGAATTGGTATAAATGTCACTGGCAGCCACAGAGATAGAGGCTATGAGGAAGGATTGAGTAGTAAGAAGGAACAAGGAGCAAATAAAAGAGATAGAAGGCCAAATAATAGCAAAAGACAGCTCAGAAGAAACAGGCACATGACCCATCTCCTAAACAGGAAGGAATGTGACCGTGGGAAACTGCCTTATCTAGAAATACTTGCCTAACTTGGCAATACAATTCCCACAAGCTTACAAAGCAAACGAGGCCATCTGAAGTGATTTGATGATTGGTTATAAGAAAATGGAAGCGTTGGAGTGGTATTTTGTAATTGGATGATTTATCTTATGACCCTGTTCTTGATATTAGTAATCCGCTGAGTAATCCTCTATCCTGTACATATATAAGGCTGCCCTCTCTGCTGAGCTGGGCAAGCAAAAATCTCTTGAGCAATCAAGCAGGTAGACCTTTACCCTCTAACTAACTGAGTGAATTGAAAGCTAGTAAGCATCTCTTGAGACAAAAGGGAAGCTCGGCACTGTCTATAGGGTTTCCATCACTGTCAAATCACCCTTGCTCACTGTCTAAGCACTGTTCAATGCTGTCTATCAAGTAAAGTCATCTGGAAGCTGTCTAGTAGTCACTTCAGCAGTGTACAAGCCGCCGTATAAGAAGAAATATTGACTGTCAGGTACCGAACACCTGAAGTCAATCCTAGTTGGTGTTAGTTGTTAGGTACTGGACACCTAAAGCTACACAATATATAAGCTGAACTAAGTGAGATCTAGTAGTAACACCTTGAGCATGTTATATTAGGTCATACCCATCACCCGTAAGCCATTCAGGAATAAGAAAGGGTTAAGAAATTTGACCTTTTGAAACAAACATACCTCCCTTCAACTAAGAACAACTGTGATAGCCTGGTATATTGTAGCCTTACCTGGTGAACTGCAGGAGAAAGCACTTTCTCACTTGACACTGTTCGCACCATTGTTCCAACATGGGTGTTCTCAGCGTGTCAATGCTCCAGTGCTCAGAACAACAAAGTTTTGACATTGTCTCACTTCAGCAAATTTCCATCAGCGCATCAGCGGGCTTTAGTGCCTTCAGCGCAGTCAGCAGCTCAGTATGACAAGGCCTTTTTGTTAGATTACACAGATTTACTAGGCATATAATTTCTGGCCAATTAACACATATTCCCAATTGAGCATGAGCACCACCTGCACGATGCATTGAGCACCTCCTCGCCATACAATCAAAAAAAAACTACCAAATGAATAAATTTGTGCACATAATACATGAGGAGAGAATGTGTATGTATGACAGTGAATCAACCAAGAAAGCAGACTCAGAGATAGTACATAGCCCTTGTTCGAACTCGGTGTATGCTGCAATCGCACGCTGTGTGGCCTCTCGACACTTCAAGAACTCATCTTGTCTCTCCTTTGCAATGGCCTCCTTGATGTCGCACTTCCTCTTGGCTTCTGTGGAGACCTTGGCCTGTGACTTACCCAGCCTGGCCATATATGTGGGGTGTGAATCATTTGTCAATCAAAGTGAGTATTGAGGCTGAGACTCCCCACCAGGATGGACAGCAGCAGCTGGTGTGCTGGCATCAGTGTGCGAGGTATTTGATGCTGTAGATGGAGACATCTGGTACAGTTGTCTTGCTCATCATCTCACATTAAAGGCCCAGAGGTAAGTAATCACTCACTGATGAAAGCTATTCCGAGTCACTAATTGTTTGCAGGTAGAGGAACAAGTGCAACATCGATGGTTGACGTTGAGATGCTGAAGCGAGGAGGACGCATGGGCCATGTGTCAAGATGTGCTTGTTCGGCTGCCTGTACTTGGTAGGTGGACACTCGCTTGCATTTGTGGACTCTCCCACCATGTTCTACTCATTGCCCCCCTCTTTGCGCGTGCGTATGGACTTTGCACCAAAGTTGGTGCACCTCATAAAACCATTGTCGATATTGCCTGTTTCAATGGTGGGTATTCAGTATATGCATGTATGGGTCATACATATTGTATTCTACATGCAGTGACAATTAATGCTGGTGTTCCGTGGTGCTGTAATACCCCACGATTTTCATTTCTCTTACTCTTTAGACACATTCAATTGGTTCTATATTAATAAATACAGATTATCATTCACACGAGTTCCAACTTCCTGTACTAGCTTAATGGTGTCGCATAATTAGATAAATTATTAGGTAACATTGTAACTAATACATAACGGTCTGCTGAGGCGTGCTGAGATGCTGAATCCACTGAAAGAAGTGACTGAGCCAGCTGAACAGCTGAAATCGCTGACGCGCTGAACTCAGCGCGTCAGCGACCTCAGAGCGTCTCAGAGCGTCAGCGGACTTCCACTTTTCCTGATGTATTACAGAAATCGCCGGTCCGTTTGTCGCATAGCATCATTCAAAATGTATGCTAAATGACTCCAATTATGTAGTGTATTGCATGGTTGTCAACGCGCTCTACATCCCCAGGTAGCGAGATGTCCTGGTACATCAGTGATCGGTCTATTGACGAACGATGCGCCCATGTACATAAGTGTTCTGGCACTGTCGCAAAGGCACACAGGACCGCTTAAAGATCATCGAGGAAGCTCCACGCGTCCCTGCACGCTCAGGAGACCGCTTGATACCCCACCGTTTCCTTGCTGGACAGGCCGAATGATTGCTTCGCCGCGCCCTCTCCCCGGTTCCGCACTCTAGATAGTCCACGTACTGTGCGCATAAATGGCCCAAGATCAATCCAGCATGAACGACCGCGCGGCCCATATGTTGGGATTGCCGCCTTGACTATATCAAGGAGGACTGGCGCGTCACGCACTGAGACTCGATAATACAACCGCCCAGTATGTGGCCGGAACTGTTTGAGTTCACGTTTCCTAGCCTTCTCGAGAGTTCCCCAAACTGTTTGTATCTGGACTGTTGTGTACATGAGAGAAGCACATACTCGGCTTCCTCGTTCAGCAATAGTACGATGCGCTCGTTGGACGAATCCTGACGCCTCGTGCCGTCCTCAGGAACGAGATCTTCCTAATCGCTATCCTTTATCCTCGCGCCGCGCATCGAGCCATCATGTGGCGACGTCGGTGCTCTCTTTCTCGTCGATCCATCGAACCCAACTGCACGTCTTCCTATGTGAATGCATAAGCAGTCATACGCGCCGTACTCAGTCGTCCCTTTGTGAATCCACACGAGCGGTATTTCGGCACACAAACATGTGTCCTTGAGCAGAGCCGCTCTGTAGCGTCAGATCATGAACGATTAACCTCTTCTCCGCAAGCAGAGCTGGGCCACGAAAGGCGAGGTTCGTGAATGGTCTACCTCTACTCGGTCGTCTCATCTGTAGGCTCCTAAGTCTGCACTTGAGGGACTGCTGGAGTTCCGAGCATGACTGGAATGGGACATGAACTGCATGTAAGGTCAGACCGACTCAGCCGGATGATGAATCAATCAAATCTCGAGGTTATAAGAACGATCTGGATCCACGACTGGGAGGACGCCGAAATGATGGCGGTGACGGTATTGAAGACAGAATCAGCGGTTTGTATGCTGGGGTCAAGGAAGAAACTTACAGCATTGCTCTCGTATAGAGATTCTCACGCCAGTGACGCGGACAAACCGCAGATCTGTTCAGAAGCTCCGCATTCATTGGCGGGCGTCCGAGAGCAAGTACACACGTACGGCGTCACAGTTGGAGTGTGCTGCCGCTCATGGTTGTGCTGTGGCTCGTTCCCTTGGCACACCCTGATCTAACAGTGGGATTGAATCAGGAAATGCGTGTGGCGTCCACCAGATGCGCCTCGTGCCTAATGTCTGCCGCCGCCGACGACTGAATTGCAGATGCGACTGTTAGCGACGGCACGAAAAGGTATCTGAGACGGTTGACAGGATCAGTCGAGTGATGCGTATGGAGAGGAGTTACGGACGGATTGTTCTGACTGTATGGTATGTGGTTTAGGTATCGCAGCAACAGATCCTGAGCCTCTTGTAAGATGAAGTTCCAGACGCGTATGAGAAATTGTACCATAGGTCCGTCTTAGATTGACGTGTTTATCAAATACGAAGCCGTGTACCCCCCCTCGCCTGTCTCATTTGTGAGATACCTCGAATCACCTGGTTGAAGAGCGCCACTTACGCAGAGAAGACTGGGCCACAATGGCCACCATTTCTGCAAAGCGGTATAAGCTGCTTTGTCTGGTCGTTACGGCAGAGAAAGGAATTACAATCCTGTCTGAATCTCAGAGCCTGCCGCTGGTAGGTGCGGAATCGAGAGCCGGAGGAGATGATTTGCAAGAAGGATCAGCATGGACGATTCCACATGCTTTTAATTCTTGTGCTGGTTAAGGTCACACAGATTGCCATACGAAAATCCGATGCCCAGGGGTTGGACCTGGGATGCCTTCCGGTCAGTCACCAACATCGAATTGCTGCCGTTTGCACATATGGGTGCATTGTCTATTGGTCCGCGATATAAGCCAGAGCTTGATGTCTGGTGATTACACCGCATCCAGCCGTATTATGATGGGCTCATTACTTGAGAAGCTAGATCTTGTGTGCCGACATTAGTAAATAGAGTAAGACGGGACACGGCTTGAACATACCGGATGTTCTCATCGGAAGTAAGGTGGTATGCACAGACGCCTGGTGGACGCCGGCCGCGTGTCATCTCATGAACACCCCGCGTGCAATTGCATACCGTCTCCGTGGCAGATAGCTCGAGAACCAAGGACATCATAGGGGAATGCACTAGGAATGAAGGGACCCAGGCAGCGCAATGCTGTTCAATACAAGTGCACTTCCCGTCCCTTTCCAACAATCGCCACGCACGGCCAGGAAGTACATCTAGCTCATCCGTGCGATTGGATATGCCAGGATCAGCTCATTTGTGCCTGTGGGTCAACGTGATCACATAAGCTCCTGTGGTGGCGGCGGGTCGACGGAGTTCTCCAGCGAGGATCGTTTTCCAACAGACGACACTGGATGTTAAAGGCTTGACGAGCATGTGCAAACCGTAGAGACATAAGGTACGGGGCTAGCTGTCAAAACCTGGGACCGTGTCTGTGAGCATTTCAACAAGGAACGTCAATCAAAAGTTTGCCTGCAAATGTGGCAGAGAATGTACCTTGAGAAATAGCTTTCCACCAACCAAAGCTTTTGCACAACGGGCTGCACATCGCCAGCTTCCTCTTGTCGATAAGCGAGCATCTCTGCATCCTCAGGCTCCGCAGGCGGTCCCATCGTCCACTGATCTCGAGCTTGGTCGCATTCCAGACACCACTGACGAATGCTGACTTCCCGTTCAGCGTCTCCGATGTAATCCTGGCCGCTCCCACTGGTGTCGCCAAGACGTCTCCTCTTAATCCCTGAGAGGATTGGCCGGAACGGGCAACGAAAGCGGACAGTGTCGTCATCCAACAGGGGAGGGCAATACTGCATTCTGGGGGGGCGGTAATAATTCTTAGGACAGGGTGAAAGCTCGCCCGTTTCCCACAACCGCCTGTCAGGTACCAGTTCGCAAGTCAAGGGGGCAGTCCATGTCCCATGCCATTGGATAATGGTGTATGCATGATTGATCTCCTTGTGGGGCAGCAGGTCCCGCAAGATATAGTGGTAGTGCAATGGTCGCTTGCTCAACTTCTGACCAGCTCGAAATGTCATCAGAAGGATATTCGCATTCAGCTCGTGCCAACCGAGCGACCGATATGAGCAAGGAGCCGTCATAACAGAAGGCGTGATAAGATTATTCATGGTGGCGCACGAGTCTGGAGGATGCTCTTCCTCTGCGATGATGCAATATTTGTAGACCTGCATCAGTGTGAGCACGCAATTGGTGAGAAGGGTATACAATACATACAGAGCAATGCTCGAGCTCCTGCAAATGATCAGGATGGGGTATCATCAATAAGCGATTTGTTTCCCAAAGTTCCCGGAGGTCGCGTCGAACTGCATGCGGTAGGTGAGGCGGAAAAGGACAGAGACAACGTCGAGAAACACGCACGGAAAATAAAATTCCCAGGTGCGTGGCAACGGAGGACGTTGTAGTTGTAATACATGTTGAACGTAATGTAGTCCATCTTCCGGTTCACCTCGTCAGCCACAAACACCGAGGTAATAGACCTGCGCACTTACTAATAGCTGAGGCATGTCGGGAGGCAGGATATAACACGCCTCAACATCAGCAGACACGCAGCCAGTGATCATGCATCTCGGGTGAGGTCCGAAAGGAACACCGTCCTCGACCTTGGACGCGTCACCCGGGGCGCCAGACATTCGTACTCTCTTCGCACACATCTCATCAATAATTGTGTCTGCACATCGTTTTCGTGGCAAATGACAGGAGCGGCCTTCAAGTGGCGATTCTTCTTCGATGTGGACAAACACCGGATCGATCGCATACGGATGAAACTTGTTTGTGTGGTAGTTTCGGCTAAGTATATGCACAGAATAGTCATCATGATGACTCGATGGAATGCAGTCGGCTATAGAATTGGGTGAAGAATGTGCAGAGCTTCCCCGCAGCGAAGAGTGGCCGCCCAAAAGCTCAGGGGTCCTCAGTTCGCGTCTGGGGTGGCCAACAGCAGAGACATGAGCCATGTGAGAGACATAGCTAGTGGAAGCTTCCATTTCCGCGTCATGGATACCGCAAGTTCATGGCAGGTAGTGGTTGTGTTGGACCAACAGCGTGCGCCACTGATACCTTTGGGTGATTGCTTAGTCAGCACCATCGCCAGGATCCACAGACGACGCACAGTATGCGTCGTGGTCACCTACAAGCGGGCCTTTCGATGTTATCGCTACAGCAGCTCTGTGCAGCGAGCCATTTCCGCTATTGCAGCATGCGTTGAGCTATGGCACTGGGTCAGGATGCCTGCCTGGCGAGGCTCCATGGTGGTGTGGTGGCGTAGGCTAGTCTTGCGGCTTCCGGACTCCCTCCAACACGTGGTAGTGTCCTGAATCTCCGATATGTTCACGGGTGTGACCTCCAGACTCCTACTTTTTATTTATTTCTTTTAAATCCAGTTTTATATCCGCTTGAGGGTGCTGCCCTATGCCGGATACTACGTGCATGTACATAAACGGGCTATGGAGTAATCTATCATGGGCTGTCCTGGAGCATCGTTATGGGGTGCACGAGCTGTCTGTCTCACAGGGGATGAGGTCATTGGGAGCGCGAATCTGCGCGATCGGGGCAGTGCGTTGCTGTCGATGTGGGGAACCGTGTGAGGGTGAGGAAAGGAAGCGTGGGCGCGAGGGAGAGTAGCTAGAGTGCAGTAGGTAGGTATTATGACATGTACAGTAAGGGTTAGGTGGATAAAGGGAGTAGAAGGGGAAAGGGAAGACGGGAAAAGGGGGGGGGTGAGCTGGGTGTGTAGGAATTGGGTATCATAGTGCAGTCGTAAGGTTATCCCTGTGTTTGTGCTGCTCGGAGTGCATTCTGGTTCGGTCGTCCTGTCCCGGCCGTAAAGCGGCCGGTTGCTTTGACGTAGTCGAATTAGTGATGTGCAAGGCCCGGCTCGGCCTGAAAGCCGGGGCTACGGCCTGGTTTGAGGCGGCTCGGGCCTGCCAGAATCTCAGGCCAAGCCCTAGTAGACGGCTCAGGCTCGGCTCGGCCCGGCTCAGGCTCAGGCCACGGCTTGCTAGTAAGAAAGTGTGTTCTATTCAACCATCAAGATGAGCAATACAAAGCTGACTATTGTTATCTGCGACTTCGAGGACATCAACTCAGTCCTCCTCTGTCTCTGTAGTATATTCCAAACCATCTTCAAGAGGCTCAATCTCGTTGGTAGGTAAAATATCTTTGCAGAACAAATACAGTGTTCAAAGAGCGGGCATGAGATACGGAATTGACAAAGTTTCCTGGTGGTTCAGCTATGTCCAAAGTAACAGTAAACCTTCACTATATTGCCTTTCGGGTGACAAGAATCTCATCTCATGGGTTATGAGCTTCCATATTTAGATATGATGCTTACATAAATACTATACTGTATCACTACATTTGGTAATATACCTGTCACGACTTGGGGTCAAGCGACAGGGGAAAGCCAAACAAAAGGATGCTGGGGGCATTCGACTGATTCTCACCGAAGCGATGGTGAGCAGGGCTCAAACCTAAGGCTAGGGACAAGGTAATATATTAGTTAAGTGAAAGAAAGAATACATGAGGGCTTACTGACCTAGGGACAAGAGGTCGAAACTGAGGTCCCTAGGGCAGCAGAGGCTGGCTTATATACAGGAGAGGTTTAGAGGAGGCTGTGCGCGCTGGTCTGTGCGCCGCTGGTCCGTGCGCAGCATGCTGACACAGCCCCGGGGGCCGGTGAGTCATCATGGCTGTGTCAGCGGAGCCCGAGCTGTGCTGGGCACTGCTGTCCCATCTAATCTAATTGTACAGTAGATAAGGACTTGTCCATTCGAGCATATGGTACAGAGGTCGTGGGTTCGAGCCTGCGAAAAGGAAAAAAAAATAAAAAATGGCTAGACACCATGTCAAGTCATGACATTACCCCCCCCCTCAACGGCGCATGACCTCATGTGAGGTGCCCTTGCCCATCCCCCACCTGGAGCGGCATCATGCTTCAGTCAGCGGTGAAGGTATTGGCTGAAAGTTGAAACCACCAAAGGTAGCAGCATTGAGATGGCGAGGGGCATTCAAATTCTTCTGGTGAAAGTCAGCTATGAGGGCCGGCGCATTCGCAACATTGCGCACCGGTTCCCATGATGTATGCGAGTCATCATAACCCTTTCACTTAACGAGGTACTATAGCTGATGCCAGAAGATCCTCGAATCCTTTATCCGCTCAACCTCGTACTCCTCATCGCCTTCAATCTCAATGGCGGGTGGTTCCTCTGGCTCTCGGCCCAGGATCTCACTATGCATGTACTTGCTAAGCAAGGAGACATGAAACACCGGGTGCACAGACACCAATTTTGGCAGAATCAACTCATAATCTAAGTCTCCGAGCTTTTGCTGCATGGCATATGGTCCAAGGTGCTTGGGACTGAGCCTCTTGCTTGGCTGTTTCAGCTCAAGGTTCCGAGCATCAAGCCAGACCTTGTCCCCCAGTGCAAAGACCAGTGCTTCCTGCACGTGCTTATCGTAGTACACCTTCATCCGTTCAGCTGACAGCTCTAGCGCAGAGCGCGTATCATCGCAGATCTCCTTCAGGATCTTAAGCTGATCTGCAGCCACGGGCATTGTGGACATCGGATTGATCTGCACCTGGATCTCAGGGTGATAAGCCTGATTCAGAAAGAAGGGGGAGTGCCTGGTTGCCGAGTGAACTCTATTGTTCAACATGAACTCAGCAAGCGGCAGCTGTTTTGCCCAATCATCCTGCCTGTGGCTTGTGAAAGCGTGTAGGTACCGCTCGATCTCCTGATTCCAGTGCTCGGTCTGGCCATCTGTCTGAGGGTGGAATGCTGTGGACAGCACCGGCTCAATCCCCAGTCCCTTGTACACCGCATGGAGGTACTTTGACACAAATTGGGGTCCTCGGTCTGGTAAAGCGGTCAGCGGTAACTAGGATCAAGTCGAATCCATCAGACTTTGGCAGGCCAACAATCATATCAGTGGTGATGATCTGCCATGGGCGCTCGGGGATCTTGTTCAGCTTCAGTGGACCCTGGGGCTTGGCTGGGAATGTCTTGGGATGGTTGCACACGTTGCAGGTGCTTACATACTCATTGACAAATTTGGACATTCCCGGCCACCAGTAGTTCCACGACATGAGCTCAAGGGTTTTGGCACGATCACCATGACCGGCAATTGGCGAGTTGTGGTGGATCTTGACAATATCCCGCCGGAGCTCCGCATTCTTCGGGACATACACGCACCCACGGAACAACAGAAGCCCTTGTTCGGCATTCCACTCCTCAAAACCCTTTTGCAGCCGAGGCAGTGTCAGTTGATAAATGTGATTCTCACGTGGTTTGCTGGGTAAGACCTAGATATACCAAGCTATCACAGTTGTTCAAGGGGTGAGTTTAATCAGTGGTTTCTCCAATTATTTCTCACTTGATAAATCAGCACTTACTTGGCTCAATGACACAGACTATGAATGATATATGATATACCTTATTGACTGAGGAAGTGCTTAGCTTTCTTGCTAATGCACACAAACCAAATTGACTGAGAGCTTGAATTGGCTTGAATTGGATTGTAAATTGGCTTGTAAATTGGCTTGAAGACCTCTTTCCAGATGAAAGAGGTTGGGCTTGGCTTGATTGACTAACTTGAAGAGTCTTCCCAGATGGAAGAAGCTATGTAGAGTGAACTTGAACAGTAGAAGATAAGACCACTTCTGCCAAGACTCAGACTTAAAGGCTAACTATCCCTCAGGCTTCTGAGCAATAGACTAGTTCTTATATAAGCACTGAAGACTTTAAACTGAAGTTGAACTGTATCAACTTAAGATTCAGGTCAGTGAGCTTCCTAGAGTATTTATCCCAGGAAAAGTAGCCATTTAATTGGGGTGAAAGAAGGCTCCTTATATATGTACATGAAATCTGCTGATTAATCAAAAGGAAAAATAGAAAACAATCTCCTGAAAGAAGTCCACCAATAGAACATGCGATAGCACATTTGTCAGCCTTCTTCTTCTGCTGACTGAGCCTCCTTTCTGCTTAGAAGTGTAGAATTGGTCATAATTAATCAGCAGAGGTAGTGGTGCCACTACACTAAGCTATGTGATTGGACCAATATGATGTAGAGCTGTGTTAAGACTGTGCTGAAGCTGTGCCAAAGCTATGCTGAGGCTGTGTACTTGCTAATATGTCTTGCAAGTTGAGATCACATGATCCTGAGGGGTGCTTAGTCATATTATTTCCCATTTTGGTCATCCTTTTTTTCCATTTTGTTGTTTTCTCCTTGTTTTCTCTGTAGTTTCCTTGTTTTCTTTATGATTCATCTGCTACTACCCTCTGTCTGGATTGAAGGGATGGATCTATGTGTTTCCAGATCATGAATTATACTATGTGGTATTTGCATGGTTGTATTTATATTTATTGTTATTTGTGTGGAGGGGGGTATCATGGATTTGGATATTGGAAGCACAGA